CGGCTTCGCAGCTCCAGCGGACATTAACCAACACCAGACATCACCATTTTCAGATATCACCATTGCCGGACAGCACCCAACTTCTCCATTGCTCGACTGTCGCAACCATTCCTCCTTAGCAATTAGTTTCGAACTTGACCTCACACTCGACAAAGTAAAAATTTTGGAATTAGAAACTTAGGGAATAATATTAGCGTCATTGTTTCTTGTTTTTAACTTTGCGCAATTCTAGATGAGATTATATATTTGAATAAGTAACATTTTTAATACTAGTAAACTAATTATCTTCATTTTTATTTCTTTGACTAGTTTCAAAGGTGGAGGGTCCCGCCTTGTAAAACTGACCAACACCATCATGATTTCACATTTAAGGTCACATATGTTATATCTAGAGAACACATGTGATTAATATTTAGGATATTTTTAATTGAATTGATCTCGATTCAGATAGATGTAAACCAATAATGTCAAATCGGACTAGACTAAATCTAAAGAATAGTAAATACATATTTATCGGCCGTTCGCCAGATCTATTTTGAACAGATCTGATCAGAATACATTTTTCCAAATCTACGTGCATATGTAAATGGGTGTCATATGATAAATTATAAAAAGTATTTTATTTGATATAATTTTTATAAAAATGGAAGCACAAGTTAAAGAGTTATATAACATGAGACAACATTTCATAGGAAAAGAATTGTTTACCACATGACAACAAGTCATTGGATGGAGAGAGAATTTAAAATTGATAAGGTGTGTGGTAGGCCATATGAGCTTGGGAAGGGAATGAAACTACTACGCATCAATTTTAATTAATTTTTATTTATTTTAATTTAAAAGGTTAATATAGTCAAGTTGTGGTTACATAAGATAAAATGGGGGTGTGCAAAGCAACCCCTTTTCTAATTCACTATGTTGAGTGTTTTCACTTAGCCTGTTTTGATAATATCAAAGATCGGTTGGTTCAGTGGGAATTTTTAAAATTTTGACTGAAATGGTTTAGATGACCGATTTTTGTTGATTTATGAAAGATTTATATTTAAAATATTTTTTTTATTAATAAAATAAATAATTACATAAATATGATCAAAACAAAGATGATTTACAAAAATATGACTAGTTATTAGAGTAGTAATGAAATCATAGTAATTAATGTTCAAGTTTTGAACTTTAGTTACCACAACACTACGTTGTAGTAATGAATAGTCATATTTAATTATGTAATTGAATTTTATTTTAGTAATATTCTTGTAAAAAAAACCTAGAAAAGTAATATGTTTGGCACAACTAGCTGAAAAGATACTTTTGTGAGCTTTTTAGTAACTATTAGCTTTTAGTGACTGAAAAGATCTTAAAAAGAAAAGGTGATAGCTGTTTGGTAAAAGGCTAACTGTTTAATTTAGTTTGGTTTGGTATACAAGCTGTTAGGACTAATTAATACTAAAAGTCACGAGCTTTTCTCAGATGCTACACCCGATAGCATCTCAAAAAAGATCTTTTAATTTTTGAAAAGCTGTTAAAAAATGTCATGCCAAACATACAACTAGAGTCTTTTAACGTCTTTTTAAAGAATAGAGAAGCTAGAAGCTAGAAGCTTTTGTGTGCCAAACATAGCCTTATTATTATTAAACAATTCAGTTCGTGAATTCAAAAGTTACGTGTTTGGTGAAAAAATGATTAATATGTCTGATAAGTCGAAAAACAATATTACCAAAGAGGCTCTTAATTGCTTAACAAAACATTTTTCGGTTTTGTATTTACAACAGTTAAGTGATACTCCCTCTGTCTTATTAGGCATTGCCTACTTTGATTTGAATGTTAAATAATAATTAAAAAAGTTGTGTGGTTGAGATTTATGTAGAGGAAAGAGAAATAAATAGAAACACAATTTCATTACTTTTAAAAAATGACAATGTTGTTTAGACAAATAAAAGGGGAAAGTTGACAAAGTTAAGCTCAATGAGGCAGAAATTCGCTATGAAGAATATCGACATTTAAGTACAAAAATAAATGTGATACTACTTTATTCATTATTTTAAGTACTCTTTTTTTCTACACTCTAACTTTCATTTTTCACATTCACTTTTTTCACTATCAACATTCTTTTTTATACTACCTCCGTCCCAGTGGACTTTGTCAGGTGCAAAATAAGAATAGTAAAAAATGTGTGGTTGAAGAAGAAATGTGCAGAAACACAAATTAGATGCTTTAATAAGAGAGTGTCAAATTTTTTTGGGACACCCAAAAAGTGAAATTTGGCAAAGTCCAATGCGACGGAGGGAGTATCATCTTAAAAATAATTCTTGGATCGATCTTTAATTTTCAATTTTCAAGCATCTTTCCTTTATATTCTTCACCCCTTGGCGAACTTTAATTTGCCCCGGCCATAGACATACATGCACCACTTTACACCCATTTCTCACCTCTCCAAATTATCACTACCACTCCGTCACATTGATTTGCCACACATGAAATTCTTCTTGTATTGCTCTTGGATGGAGATCGAACATTATTACATATCAGAGATAGATCAGAGTGTACTACTCATAAAAAAGTATGATTCAATTCAATGACATTATGGGACACCCTACGGAGGAGGTCAAGTTCGAAACTAATCGCTATCAAAAATATTGACATTTACCATTTAGAGACTAGAAAGGAATATAACCTGAAAGTGCAACAAAAAAAGGATATAAGTTGAAAGTGCTAAAAGCATATCTTAAATGTTTATGATTCATTTATATCAAATGCGTACCCTAAATTGAAAAGAGAAAGGATGGGATGCTTATTATTTATCTAAGGAACACGTAATAAAGATCGAATGTACAAATTGCAAATGAGCCACCTCATTTTTCTACAGCGTTTGTCCGGCGACGATCGTTTGGTCATGGTGCGAGTTTGGATTTTATGTCTGTTAGTTGCTGACCTCGGCATAACAGATCGTTTTTTGTTTCTTTTTTGGGAGTGGGGTCATCGACCTAATCGTTTGGGATCTATATTGGTTGATTCGAGCAAGGCATTTGTTGGTTGCTTTGATTGTGCCCGAGGTGTTCGGTCTTGACAATGAACAGGTTCGGAGTTTCTGGCAGAAGGTTAGAGCAACAATTTTGCATGGATAGCTTCGTGGACCGATTCAAGAAGATGGAGAATGGGGCAGAGGAAGAAGAACTAGATCTAGATGAAGCTGGTGTTGAAGTTGTGGCGGATGAGCGGCAGACGCGTCCCCCTCTTGGGCCGCCGCCATGGAGTGCAAGCAAATCTAGGGTTTGAAAGAAGACTTATCTTATTTGTTTTGTTTGTTTTTCCAGTGATTTTTATGTCTGTTTTGTTATTTGCTTTTTCTTTATTCTTTCTGTTTGTAAGACGTTGGATTTGGATGTGGGGGATGAGAGGAAAACGGTAACCGCTTTTGGCTTTGATGCTCCCATTTATGGATAAACGAATTATATTGTTTCTCTGGAGGTGATTAATTCTGAGTCTGGTTCGCGGGACGACGGTTGTCAGATTTCTTTTTGTCATATTACCCATACTCTGAATTATGTGTTATCAATATAAGCCGAATTCTTCCAAAAAAACGATTCATTTATATCAAACACTGTCAACATTCCTTTTAAGTAGATTCTATGGTACCCTTAAGGTACCATACCTTTGTCTATATAGGTCAATCAGAATGATGAAATTGAATTATTTAAATCTAAATTAAAAATGATAAAATGATTTGAACCAATCAGGTGAATGAAAGGTACGGTACGCCATTTTTTAAATGTGTACCGGAGTTGTCACCACCTCTTTTTTATATCATCTTAAAACTAATCACTTCTCAAAACTAGAATCAAACCTGAACCCTCTTATCCGTATGAGCCTATGAGGTGCATACTCCAACTTGTAGCAATTCAAATCTCACTTAACTCTCCAATTAACTTGTAGAATGCGGAATGAGCGTTGATGTTTTAAGTTATGGCCAACAATTCCAACATGACCTGTGATCCAAGACCATAAATAAACGAACATTATGTTGGGTGTGTTTCGAAAAACAAAGAAAATTAATTAATAAAAATTAATTAAACAAAATGACGTAAAGAAAACAAGAAATGAGATGAAGCAGAATAAGGCAAAGCTCGTGCTGCGCATGATTTCCTTAAAATGTATTCGTTGCCTCCCGGGGTGCTAGGAGCGTTGCAAGAATCGTTTCCCAGGATATGATGACTACGAACAAGCGTTTGAGCACTCAAACGAAAGTTCCCACGAACGTGAACAAAGCAAGAACACAAAAGAGTTTTTGTGGAATGCTAGAGGTGTTTTTTTAGCTCTGAAAATATGTGCACGAAGTGTATGAACGTGTGTGTTTTGCAAAGCACCTGCTAGCCTATTTATAGGGTGGATTTGTTGGCTGAAAAACGTTTGCATGTTAATGACGTTTAATGGATATGGCTGTTGGACATCAATGCCCAGCATGCTGGCACTGATCTGTCCAAAAAACGTTCCAATTCCATGCATTAAGGCATATGACCGTTGGGCAGTTAATGGAGCAAAAAAAACGTTACCAAAGAACAAAAGTTAACGTTATCTTTAGATGATAGATTTTCGGACGGCATTCGTGTGTGCAGGTCGCCCCCGCACACGCAAGTCGCGCTTCTTATTCTTGGGTTTCGGGATTTGATTCGCACCCCCTGCGCGAGTGGAGAGAGCCTTTACCCTAAGGAATCTTAACTCCTTAGGGGGGTTTCCCTTTATAAAGGGTTCAAATTCCCTTGTGATTTTCGGTGTGGGAAAAACCCATACCAAAACTACACATTTTCCTAGTTTTCTCCATTCCAACGGGTAAACTTCGAAAAGTGATTTCTCATTCACCCGTTATCCGTTTTGAGCGTACCATATATCGAATTGTAGCCCTAAGCAAGGACAATCCGAAACCACTTTGACCCGACCCAAATCGGAAGTGGACCCCGCTCAAAAAATTGTCCCAAAATGACCATTTAATGCAATTTAACACACTTTTTTCCAACACATTATGCGTAGTATTAGACTGAAGAAATAGGCATTGTTTTAAGTCACTTTTGACACAATATTCATGGATCTTTCCATTATATTCTTCACCCATTTGTGATCTTTAATTTGTCATAGCCCATAGACATACATGCACCAAGTCACCAACTTACACCCATCGATCTCTCACCTCTCCAAATTATCACTACCACTCCGTCACATTGATTTGCCACGTGAAATTCTTCTTGTATTGCTCTTGGATGGAGATCGAAGATTATTACATATCAGAAATAGATCAGAGTGTACTACTCATAAAAATAGTACCTAAAACCCATGCCATAATTGATCTAGACGTAAAATTAATTAAAGAAAGTAGTAAGAAACAACACAACCCAATCTAGCAAATTACTTCGGCTTGGACTTGGACTTGGCCTCAGCCGCGGCGGCTTTCACAAAAGATGAAGGTTTTAGGGAGGACTTGGGATTAAGAGCCTTTCTGATCTTAAAGACGGCACAAGCAGTTCCGAAAGCATGCCCAGCCGCATCGAACCCTTCTTTAGTCACCTCTGCTGCTTGCTCCCCGTGCCTGCCCGAAGTTAATAATCAACTCATATATTAGTATATACTACTACTATATGTTAGAAAACGATATAACAGCTTCTACTGAGTAGTATATTATGTTAAAGTATTTGTTCCACACGGAAAACTATAAAAAAAAATGAAACACTATATAATACTTTAACATATTATACTCGGTAGATAGTATAGATTAACTATAAGAAAACACACTAATCTTTGGCATTATGACTCGTGGTGATGCGTGTAAATTAATTTAGTACTCCCTAATCTCTAGGCACTACAATTAAGTTCCATATATATATTGAGTTTTCTGTTTTCAAATAAAAAATGTTAATTACATGGACCATGTATCCAAAATTCATGTTGTATTGTTACACAAAAGATAATTTTAAATACTTCATTGTAATACTCAATCTGTTCTCTATTAGATGTCCTTATAGGGTTTGGCACAAATTTTAAGAGGAAAATAATAGGGTAGTGTAAGAGGTGTAGTGAGTTGTGTTTAAATGAAAAAGTAGGAAAGAGAATGAAAAAGTAGGAAAGAGAATAAGAGTATATAGGTATATTTATTGAAAAAACTTTCTAAAAATGGAAAGAGAGACAATTATTAGAGAACATCCCAAAATGGAAAGAGCAACAAGTATTAGAGAACGAAGGGAGTCTACGCTACGTATATGTATTATTAAAGTTAAAACTTAGTACGTATTATTAAAGTTAAAACTTTGAACTTAACCGTATGAAAATTAAAGAACTTAACCGTATTATTTGCATGTGAATATGTGATATGGAGTATTTTACTAAAAAAACAATTTATTTTCTCAAAAATGTTATGAATAATTACACTACATATTTATGAACACCATATTTAATTAAGAGTCCTCACTCTTGCTGCCTTCCCATATACTCACTTCACCACCCCTAAATATCTAATTAGCTTTCATAGAATCAATATACCAATGTGTTTACCTATGCGAAACAAGACCAGTTGTGACAGTGGAGGTTGTGGACATCACATTCCTGCCAGCCGCTTCAATCGCATCACATACCTTGTCTGTTTCCATGTCAAGGTGAAGTTGAGTAATTGCCAATTAGAAAATGTTACAAGAAAAAACTGCAAGGGACAAGAGAAAAAGACATATATATAGAAGTACTTGAATTGGTATAAGGAATGTACTTACTGAATCCATCCAAGGAGGCAAGAACGATTTCCACGGGGAGAAGGCTGAAGAATTTCTGGCCAGCTTTAGAGCTCGCAATGGAATTTGTGAGCACTCCAGACATCTTTACCACCCCAGCCAGAATGCCTGTTGCCACCTTCTCCGACATCTTCGTCATCTTCTTCACTCTACGAAACCCATCTGACTATCATTAGTTTCAATCAAACACTATGTTGTACGGAAATGTAAAAATCCCGAGGAAACAGGAACGTCTATCTTTCATATGAAAAGTATCTATTCGAAAAGTTCAAAGAATTTCCATAGAGTTTCTGAATAAAAAAACACTCTTTAATTTCCCGAGAATATCTGTGTCCAGTACATCAAATATAACATGTGAACCCTTTAATATCTAGTCTTGCTTAACTAATACTCAGAATCACCTTGAACAGGTAATTAAACAAGAAACGAGAGGACTTCTAAACTCTGTCTTCTCCATTTTAAAATCACTTCTTAAATTGAAATGGAAGGTAATTAAACAAGAAACGAGAGGACTTCTAAACTCTGTCTTCTCCATTTTAAAATCACTTCTTAAATTGAAATGGAGACTAGCTAATAACTGTTCCATTTTGTGATTCGATTCGATGACATCACTGTCACACTCCCAAAGCAACTCCCCAAAGCAAGAAGAATGTAATACATCAGTGTCACAGTCAAATACTTCCTCCGTTCTTCTTTTTTAGTTGCAACAGTCAAAATTTCACACTTGCCAACGCACGTTTTGACTGTAATTATATCTTAATCTCTATTAGTAAAAATATTTAAAAATTAGATTTTGAAAATTTGTAATGAGATGAATTGAACTATAATCAAAGTCCTAAATTAACTGTCATAGAGTCTTAAGCAATACCTTTTCACCCTTTTTAAGGCGGTTGGGCTGATCTCCGCGGGGGCGCAGCCCTTTGCGGCCATCCTCTCCATCAAAACTTCATGTACCCAGTTCAATCGATCCACCGCCACATCCCCGCACCACAAGATTCCCCTCACGAGATGACCCGACCCGGCGGCAATCATTTTCGCCACGCTTCCGCTGTAATCCTCTACGTTCGGAGCCAGGGTGGTCCAGTAGGCCGCGGAACTCCTCTCCACCGCATCCCTCTTCTCCTTCCTCTCCATATCCGCCGGAGAGACATCCTTCGCCTCAACGCCCCACCCCCTCACCGCCGTCCCCGCCGCCTTCTCCACCCGGAACGCGCTGAACTTCTCCAGTACCCCGTCCAGCTCTCTCAGCTTCCCCTCCTGCCCCTTACCCGCGATGGTCAGCCCGTAATTCAGCATGATCTCTGAAGATTCGACCCTGATCTCACCCTCGTCGTCGTCCGAATGGTCCGATAGCGCGCCCGCCGGAGTTCTGAGAGTGAAGAAGTAGTGGGAGTCGTCGAGCTTGACCGTGGCCTCGTCTTTGGCCAGCGGCCACTGGATTTCTTGGCCGACACGAGCGAGGACGGCGACAACGTTATTCCCCTGTTTGAGCTGAACGACGGTGAGCTCTCCGGTGGCCAGTTCGATGCTCCGGTCTTTGTCGATCAAATGGACCATGGAACCTGGGATTCTGATGATCACTTCTTCAGAGGATTCAAACCCAGAATTGGGTTCTGGGTTTGATTGGCCGGAGATTTTTGGGTACAAGGATCCGGACATGATTGACTGCTCTGTGATTGATTCTTCTGTTTTGGATGAGAATTGCAGAATAACTGAGGGTGTTTTTTATGGGGAAGAAATGAATGAAAGCAGGAGAATTAGGAAGTCGGTTAAGGTGTAAAAGGGGTTGACGTGTGAGGATACGTGTAGAATTCGCGGAGGTGCAGAATCGCATCACCCTCTATTCTATACAAATTCTTAATTTTAAATGAAACTTATTGCAGAAGAAATCTTAACTTCCTACCTCTCCGGTGTTATCCTTGTTAACGTGCGTTCATCTATAGTCATTCTTCCAAGTTCCAAACTTGACTAATTCATACTTATTCTCTAAGAGATAGGTTCTTATTAATAAGATTTTGAAAAATAAAGTATATACGTAGTACGATAGTATGATGAATGTTCGAATACTATGGATTTATTCACTAATTAATACAATTCGGTTTTAAACTCTATTTTTACATACCAGAATTTGACAGTATTATACAGAGTATTTTAATTCCAAGTTTTGAGACTTTATATTACGTACTACCTCCGTCCCATTTATATTGTCTTTTTACGGTTTACGATGTTTGACCGACGATAAAGCAAACAGATTCTTGTCTGCACTCTAATTATTTTTAGGCAGGGCCGGCCCTGGACAAGGGCAGGCCGGGCTTGTGCCCCGGGCCCAACATTTACAGGGGCCCATAATTATATATAAATGGATAAATATAGAGAGGACAGTTCATATCAGACCGAGGTCATTTGGGGCCCTTTATGGAGGAATTTTTTTATGAAACTTGTTTAGAGTATTTTTCATCAAGTGTAAATTACATTCACAAAATTTTAGTTTAAAAATCAACCGGGAAGTAAGTTAAATAAAAGATTGAAACACACTGCGCTTTGTGTATATAAATAATGCGCACTATCTTTCAATAATTTATTTAACTGACTTTCAGGTTGAATTTTAATCTGAAACTTTGTGGAGATATTATAGATTTCATGAAGAATATATTTAAAAAAATTCATGAAAAAATTCTATCGGGAAGGGCCTCAAATGGCCACGGTCTGACATCATTTCCCGTTAGGCAGACCTAATTTCAAGGTTTCATCTTTGGACTTTAATTCGCTTTGCTCAGCAATCAACACTCTCCTAATTTTCTCAAAAATATCTTCCAAATTTGAAATTTCAATTTCACAAGTAATTCTCTGGTTTTATTTTTTATTTTTTAATATAATTTTTATTCGTTTAGTTTATATAATAAGACTTTGATGAAAGACTTACATTACTTTGTATGTTGAAATTTGTGTATATAAAATTAAGCTTTTGCAATATATTTATATAACCTTTTAAGGACCTTCTTTTTTCAATCGCCCCAAGCCCATAAAATATTAGGACCGGCCCTGTTTTTAGGGGGGGGGGAAATTTATATATTCAGAAACTATATTTAAAGTTTTACAAAGTCGCAAAAATCTAAATCAAATTTGATAAATTTCTGATATATAAAGTAAGAAATTAAGAGTGATTTGTGATGACCAAGTAAATAGGAACTGAGACAATATATATGGGACGGAGGGAGTAGTATTTTTATGTAACTTAAGAATATGTAAATTTAAATTTCTATTTCTGATTATTAATAAATTGGTAATAAGAAATTATTTTATTATTTCAATTATACTATTTCCGGTCTTCACCCTACTACCTGCTCTAAGATGAATTCCAAATCTTTTATCTAAAACAGAGCCTTCCTCATAATTTAAGGGACATAAATTATATGAATGTCCAATCATACCACATATAAAGCAAAAGTTGGGTAATCTTTCATATTTAAAGTCTACCCAAAAACTTTTACCATCTTTTTTCAGAATTGTCTCCTTCTTCAGTTATTTATCCATCTTCATAAGAACCCTAACCCTCATTTAAGGCTCTAATTTATCACTTTTCTGGTTATCATCATATTTAATGAATTCCCCAATAAAATTACCCACACGTCTGGCAGTACCCAAATTAACAAGACTGTAGGGAACATTATGAATTTGAACCCAAAACTCAGTCTTATTTAAAATAATTTTGTGTGGAATATCATCAGGCATAACTTCTTTTAACATTAAAAAACTACGCTCAAACTGCCAAGGGCCTCCTTCAAGCACACGCTTCATATCAAAACGATGGTTAAACGAAAACAGGTACCTTTTATCACCAATCTCTTTCACCGACATACCTTTCCCCGACCTCCAAAGTGTAAGCATTGTCTCTATGAGATCCGGGAACTTGACTTTGCGCTCTGTCAGCACCTGTCCGATCACTGGGAAACCTGTCGTTGTCGCCTCCACCGACCCTCCTTCAACCTCACCTTCATTGAGGTTTAACTCTTCTTCATCATCGCCAATCGCCATCTGCTTGTAACGATCAACAAAACTTTCCATATGCCTTCTTAATTCCTTCGCCGATATCCCTGCTACTGAGAGTCACAGGTAACCGCAACCAGCTATAGAAACTCCCTGCTCTTGATTTCGTCGTGCCTTCCCAAGCTTCCGAACGGCCCGAGTCAATACCCTAGACCCACCGCCCTCTCCACCAATCCTAAACACCTACTGTCCAGACCTCCAAACAGCACCACCCAACACCACCAATCAATCTCACCCTTCGATATTCTCGAAGGCGGACAAAACAGAGCTAAGGGTTATCGGCCGATAACCCTAGAGAGAGAAGAAACAATTTACTCTTACAATGGTATTCTTGTCTTCAATTTTGAAAATACATTTTATGAGCATTATGTTAAAATTGAAGAATGAATTTAAGTTAAATGTTACTACAAAATTGGTACCTCTACGCGTTGGGTTACACGCCCGGTTACACATCCAAGTATAATTACGCTACACGCCCGGTTACACGACAAGTACAATTGCTTTTGTACCAATATTGACATTTGTACGTGCAATTAGAGGTGTAATCGGCGTTTACTGAGTAATATTTTGATGTTATTATGTGAGTCAACTAGTCAAGTGATGTGAAGTGCTAGAATTGTATGAAAACTAGGAGAAAGGTGTGGGTCAAACAACAATGACAAAATAGGAATGCCAATGGCGCAATTTTGATACTAGCATACTGCGATCCCACCCCATGACACATTGACACATGACCTTGTTTACTTGGAGTCTTGGAGAATGGATAGATAATGAGAAAAGTCCGGTACTTCCACAGTCCCGTAAAACTTTCCTCTTTGAATACCGATTTTTTTACTCGTTCTAATTTTAACTTAAAATAATTAATTAATTATCAAATACAATATCTTGTGGTTCAATGATATCAATGTAGCACTTTCAAAAGAAGATCATATGTTCAAAACTCATTCTAATCGAGTATATTGACATTTATAGAATGGATACTATATGTATGAGAAAGTATAGTTATAAACTTAAAGTTATCAATTCGTGATTCTACTTATTTTTTCTCTTCTTGCACAAATTTTAACAATACGATTTTTATTTTTATTTTTCATACACGGCACAACTTTAATTGACTCAAAAAGTCAATTGAGTCCTCGTACTTATCTTTCAATCAATTAAGTCCACCAACTATTAAAAAACACTCAAATAGGCCATTTAACCGGTTGGCATCCGGTTGAAGGTCAAATGCACCGACATGACAGTCCATTTGGATTTTTTGTTTTTCCCTTTTTCATTTTCTTTTTCTTTCTCCTTCCCTCTCCTTCTTTCTTCTCCTCTCACGCTTCTTCTTCCCTGCTTTTACCTGTGTGCGTTTCTGCATTCTTTTCTTTTCTTATTTCCTTGTTTCTTTCATTCTCTCTTTCTTTCTTATTCTACATAGTAATTCTTTCCACAAAAGGCATCAACCTTCGCCTCCCATCTCTTCCTCATTGGTCGCTGCCGACCAACCGTCGTCGCGCCGCAGCTCGTCTAAACACCGGTCTCCCACAAAGCCACAACTTGTCTAATCGCCAGTCTCTCTGGCTTCTCCAACCACCATCGGGGATCGCTCGTTGCCCACGACTTCTTAAATTTGCCGCCCATCGCCGGTAGCCAGCAAATCATCTATTACCTAGTAGCCGCCACTTGCCGCCCATCAACTACACTTCTCAATCGCCGTCAGCCGCCTCCCGTAGCCCCACAGCCAAAGCTTACCTAGCTGACTCCGCAAGCTGCCCACCTTCCATGTCTTCCTCAACCTCCACCCGCCATCCGCCGGCGCCCGCTGCCCATCCAAAAAATGAGAATCGGGAATAATAGAACAAGTGAAGAAGATTGGAAAAGAAAGAAATTGGATGAGGAGAAAGACAGTGTAGAGAGAAGAGGAATAAAGAAGAAGAAAATTAGAAGATCGTCGCTGCAAGTAGGCGGAAGAAGAAGTCAGCAAAGAAAGGAGAAAAAAAAAAGAGAAAAAGAAAAAAGAAGAAACGGGTTAAAGGAAAAGTCAGAATTATTGCCACAATTGCTTCCACATCAACTACTAACCAGTAAAATATATATTCAACCGGCTAAATAGCAAAATTGGCTGTTTTTTAAGAGTTGGTGGACATAATTTACCGATCTATAAGTATGAGGACTTAATTAACTTTTTGACAATAGTACGAGGACCTATTTGACAGTTTTCCCAATAAAGAATAAGAATAATTTTATGATGCACGCATAGTTACATATACCATTCCCTATTGATTAAAAGAGAATGCTGAGCTTGCACACTAAATTTGGAAGAATCATCGATATTATTTTCCTTAAATGGTAGATGATTAAACTAAATTGAGGGAAACCACTAGATGATTAAACTAAATTGAAGGATACTACTAACAAGCCTTTTCTTTTTTATATGGAGTACAGGAGTAGTACTTCATTGGACCTGAATTCTCAGCCTTGCTTCCTAGCAAGGCACCGTGCCTGACCTTTGGGAGTCTTCGATCATTATTTCAACAGCGGGAGATTTCAAGATCTGCATCTTGAGGCGTGACTTTCCCCTCTAACGTCCTCCTGCCGCAAGGCACTCAAGCACTCTTGAATTGAGATGCAACAATTCTATTTTCACTTTTCTATAATGTCATTTTTAATCCGGAGTACATTAATAAACCAAATGTTGTTGTATATTGAAGATGTGAATAGTAAAAACATTGCAAGTAACAAAGAATGAACTATGTGTAAATCATTGAACCCTTCTAGCACAAATTAAGCGCTGAAGCAGTTTTAAAATAATTTCCATGATAACAGTGTTCACTAAAGTAATGCAAAAGTGCAACAGTTGATGAGATGCCGAACATGGAGACCTACCTGTGCGGCTGCTGTGCATAAACAATGAGCGTGTTCGACTACTGAGTCTACTCTTATTCGTGAAAAAGTCCATGTCCTACATCAGGGAGGGAGTCAAGGGGCAGTCGGTCCGTAATAACACACTTACTTTCCGGCAGATAATTATTCATATCATGAATTCATGACCCCCCAACATTCAAAGTTACAACAGAAACCCATTTTAAAAGGGGGTTGTGGTTGGTTTATACAGTCGAAGCCGAAGGATTTTGGGCAGCATAAGGTGATCTACTTCTACTGATTGGGAGGCGATCATACACATGATGGACCTCCCGCTTACTCGTCTCTCCCATGTCTCTATCTATTGCGTAGCACACATATACAGTATCAATTACATTATCCAACACATGGATGAATAATCCGAGAACCACGATCAGAAGAACCCATGCCATGGCAGCAACAAAGTATGCATCTACTCCTATGTGAAATCCAGCTTTCAATACAGCACAAACCTGTGAAACACCATTTTAATTTTAAATCATCTCAGCAAGCCCTAAAAGAGATAAATCAAAGCCATGTACCAAAGAGTCAATACAAAAAATTAAAAGGACTAAAAGTGAGAAAAACTCCTTATGCGGGGTGTAGTTTAACATCAATACAATGTTAACCAACAAGAAAAACTCACCACTATCGCATATATTGCAGAAAGGACGAAAGAAATTCCAGCAAGAATACGGGTGGAGACAATCTCCACAACGACTGCTGACAGCAGGTTACGTTCTAGAAGTTCATATGTCATCTTGGCAGAAGTGCAATAGGATTCGCCAGTAACGGCAGCAAAGTTTATTGTGAACTTGTTTAGAAAGTCAACTGTTGACAGAAGGGTGTTTGCACAGAACTTAAGAGAGAGGTTTACAATGCCAGGAGCCTCTTGTCTTGCATTGTCTACCACGGCCCTCACCACACGGACAACACAGACAATCAACCCAGAAAAACATAGTGTGCCTGAAGATGGACCGAAAGCATTTCTGCAAGATTTCAACAGAGCTTTAAAAACTATTTGGATACAACAAGAAACAACAACATCCAAGCCTTAATCCGAAAAAAGTTTGGGGTTGGCTAACATGAATCGACATATGACATCACAGTTAAAAAATAATAAACAATAATAGAAAGTAATAAATAGAGAAAAAGGGATTCAAAAATATCAATCCTCTACATGCATACTCTCCCTCCACTTGGTCAACAACTATTAGCATGAACACAAAAATTAAGAAGAAAAGAAGTTAACATAATGGAACTATGGAAGTCCACCTTCTCCTTTGGAATTTGGGGACTTTTCGTTCTTCTTTGTTTTCTTTTTAATTCATTGCTCTTATAAGTTATAACTGAGAATTTCAAATGAAACTTGTACCTATACCTTCCATTAAGTACTTCAACAAGGCACTGTTTTATAGCATCAGGTTAAGCTTAAAAGTATCAAAGTGACATTCACTCCTATATTATGCCAAGTGCAATTACTTACTCATAACTGCTCTAAGTAGCACTAAAAAAAGAATACATCATATTTCTAAGGGCTTTTATTGTTTTCTCCCCAAATTAAGAATCATTCACTCCTAACAAGTAAGTTTCTAACAATGGTTTTTCTTTTATATAAATTACTACAAATAGGAGCAAATAATGATGTGTGTGCACCAATAATAGTATTATCGTTTTTGCTAAAAACGAACTCATATAATTCAAAAAAATAATACAGAGTATAAAGTATTTAATAATCTTCCATAAAAGAAGTGAGCCAATCTTATTTTTAGGAAAAAAAATATGATAGTCCGATTTTATGAAATTTTAGCTCTTAAGTTCAGTAACAAAGAGACCCTAATTTGATAAGAAAAGATTAAAGTATTCCTATAGTAGAATGTGTCATAAGTTTTAGTTCTATCAAGTGCAATCCATAATTAGGAGTCTTATTCTGAAGAATGAAGTATTGCAAACGGATACCTGATGGATCTTCTTATGCTCTTTTTGGAACTGGAATCATCTTTGCAGAAATACCACTGTGCTATCGTCTCGCTGATAACATAAACTTGAGCTTGGATCATTGTTGTGGTAGACCATAACATTGTGAGAATAGCTAAAGCATAGTATGCAGGCACCCATTTGTCTTGCTTCCAACCACAATAGTATTCTCCCCCATGATGGGGTTCCTCCTTAGGTATAATTTTTCCATTCAACCTTGCAAAAACTAAGAAAATAACAATGGGAGCATAGTACGCAAACATCCCCATAGTCAATACAGGGAGCACCCCAAACAGCCTCAAATTCTGTGAGAGGGCATTAGAAGAAACTCTGATTATACGCACAGTCAAATCTATCCTATTCCAATTCACAATGAAGATCCAAACAACAACTCCTATGATTACGAATACGAATCCAAGCACCAAAATTCGATACCCCATGGGAAATGCATCTCTGCAAGTTGTGCTCACAGTGCAGGCAACGAACCAGTAGATGTTTATGGAGACAGGAACAATTATGAAGAAAGGAAACAGAGAGTAAACAATCTGCTTCGTGTAACGCTTGAGCAGGAAAAGCACAAACAGAACAAAGGGCAAGCTCAAGAGCAGAGTGACAACGAGTGTCCAAATCAAGCTCTTCAAGACGCCGGAATCTGATAACCGTAGAGATACAAGGTTGCCGGACTCCGGAAGAGTGCAGGAGTGCGAAGTGGTGTTGTAAACAAACGAAGAGAGGTGAGAGCGGTGAGGGTTCCGGTTGACGGAGGCGAAGATTCCGAAGCCAAAGGTGGAGAGGACTAGGACGAGGAAGATGAGGAGGAAAGGAAGGTCCTTGATATGGCGTGGGCCGTAGTTGTAGGAGATCTGGGGAATCTGGGATTGGTCTTCGGCGTCGGAATGAGACCTGGGGGGTATAAGTTCGTCGATCGGAAGGTACGGCTTAGAGAGGAGAGGTTGGGTTGGCTCGTGGAGTGATGAGGATGGCTTACTTGAGTCCTCTTCACTTCCGGCCATGGCTTCCGGTCACCAATGTCCGGCGGTGTGGTCTCAACAGCTAAAAGCTATCGGAATAGTGAGAAATTCAGCATATAGCGTTGGGGTTTATCAATTATCGACAAATTACTGTGGATCGCCGAGATTAATCTCCCCGAGATTAAAGTGAATTAGTGATAATGAATTGACCTTTCAATATCACAGCAAATCCAGTTCGCAGTAGGAAATTAGGCTTGAAAATGTTCGCATACAAGTAATATTGCTTGCTTGATTCATGAAGTTTGGTATCTAGTTATCTACATTAGATTGGTAAAAGAATCAAAATAGCGGCACTTATAAAATAAAATTTACATTTTAGAAACTACTTATAATACAAAGTACAGAGTACATGGGAAGAAAAATTAAATTTTATAAATGTTGGATATATAAATTTTTAACTGTTACCTTTTCACATGTAATATAGCCATATAGGTGGTCTCTCCCTCTAGGTGGGTTCCGTTTTGTGCCGCCGGCCTTCGTGTGGATAGATTAGGATTTCTCTTGTAGCTTCATACTTCCTTTTAGGCGTGTTATCTCTTTTAGTGTGAGTCTTGATCTGTCGAAGAAAACTTTCAACAGTCTCTATCTTTTTCTTTTGTTCGCAGGTTTGGGTTGTCTAGTGATTGGATCTAATTATTCTGGCGATGAGGAATTCTCTGACGGCTCCCTGTTTATACGAATGCAAATGGTTCATGTCCCGCAGCACCTATATGGTGAAGATTGCAAACAAGGCCAGGGCAGACGGGTCGCGGCTGGATTAGGATGAAGTAGATCTGGACTGAAGAGGACTCAAGATAGTTTGGAAAAGTTGATCGGGCAGTGCGGCGGTAGGGAGATCTGGACTGAAAGGACGAATTGATGTTCATGGAGGAGGAGGATGCGATCCGCATGGAGCAGTCGTTTCCGGGGGCTCGTCCCCCTCCCGAGCCGCCGCCGCCATCGTCAACGAGGCATGAGTGTACACCAGGAACGTGACAGTTTGGGGTTTTGGGTGGATTGAACGAAGACCTTTATTTTTGTGCTTTTATTTATTTTAATTGTTGATTTATGTTTGTTTCTTTTATGCAGGTTGTAAGAGGATGTTTTTATCTTTGGATGTGGGTGATGATTTGATTGTTTTGTCCGTCTTTGACTCATTTGTGTCAATTAATAGATCAACGTGTTATATTGCAGCGGTGGTTAACTCTGAGCCTGTTTTGAGGGACGACGGTTTTCAGGAGTCATGTTTTGGATTTACTTACTATCTGAATGATGTGTTATCAATTTAAGCTTATTTCTGTCAAAAAGAAAATGTTAGATATATAAAATCAAAGATTAAAAACAATTCACGTTGATTAGAGAAAATTGGATGAAAACATTTAAATGGGATAGAGGGAGGGAGTACTTCGTATTAAAAAATTATTAATCTCCCCATTGCTTAAAAATTACTCTTCTTTGAAAAATAGGAGTATCATACAAATGGTTTTTATTAATTGAATTGACTAAATCTGGTTTTTATTAATAGGATTCTTTGTCTTTTTTTAGGGGAAATAATTAAAATAACTCAAACATTAATTTGAAAAAGTGTGAGGTAAGCACCCCAAACTTACATATGTAATTTAAATACCCCAAATTTCATACAAATAGTTATTTTAGCACTTTAATAATATATATGATCATAATATACGAACCCCAAACTTTAAATACCCCAAACTTCATAATACTCCGTATAAAATATTTTAGCATTCATGACGATACAATTAACATTTTAAACTTCAATTGTAAAATAAATAGTATTAACCCCCACTCTATATAATTGCAAAGTTTTCAATTTGATATTTTATATTATGCAATTAACATCTTAAATTCACAGGTTTGAAAGAAATGATACATGACCATGGCGTTAAAATAACATTTTATATAAAGTTTGCGGTATTTAAATAGCATATGCAAGTTTGTGGTACTTATTTAACACCACTTCATAATTTGGTGTATTTTAATTATTTTCCCTTTCTTTATTCTTCAATTCTTTTCCCCTATTCACCAACAACTAAAAATTAGTTGTGATTTTACTTATCTTTATCTTTAACTAATAAAATCACAATTGATTTAACTTTTTTTCTTTACCAATTAATTACAAAATTTTATTAATCACACAAAATAGGTATATTGTATTTCATAATTATATACTAATATGATTACTTTTTTTTCTTCAACTAAAATTACTACCAAATTTATTTTTTGGCAATTTTTTTTACATTTATATGGTAAATATTTTTCATATTTATACACTTTTTCTATAATATATTTCTTATCTATTTCATATGTTTGTAATATTTTAAGACTCAAGTTTGTTTATTTCAATTTAAATTTGATAAAACATGAGATTACATTTTCCATATGTGTGAGTTATCTTTACAGACACTTTCTGTAGTTACATTTGAAAGTATATGCAGTTACATCTTCTTGTGCGAGAGTTACATATTTTTATGAATGAATTACATCTTCCTATGCGCGAGTTACATTTAGACTTGTCTCAACGAGTTACATTTTACATACATCTAAGTTAAATTTCTCATCAATGAGAGTTATATTTTTCATAACATGAGTTACATCACAAAATAAACTCTTGTCGTTGGAAACAAAATTGCCAAAATATATATATTTTTGACATATAAAATAGTTTTTTAAAAACATTTTTTATGGCCTTAAATATTAAAAAAAATAACATACTCACTATTTACGTAAAGTTAATTGAGCAATTAGACTCATTATTTTCATTGCTTACATTTGATAGTATATGGAGTTGCATCTTATTATGCACGAGTTACATGTTTTTATGTGCGAGTTACATCTTCCTATGCGCGAGTTACATTTGGACGTATCTCAACGAGTTATATTTTACATACACCTAAGTTAAATTTTTCATCAATGCAAGTTACATTTATCATAACACAAATTTCATCATAAAATAAACTCCTGCTATTGAAATTAAAAAAAAAAATTGGCAAAAAAATGTTTTTTAACACATTTTTATGACATTAATGTTAAAAACAAAACAAAATAACTATTTATGTAAAGTAATTGAGCAATAAGATTACTCTTTCATTGTTTATATTGAAATCAATGTTTTATTTCAAATATTTTGTATTAGACAAGTTACATTTTTACTCGCCTAAAGTTACATTTCATGTCAACGTGAATTACATTTCTCTACATGTGAGTTACACCCCCTACTACTGGACAATGAAAAAACAAAATAAAAAAGTTACTATTCACCCGTGTGAACAATAACACATGTTTTTGCCTATGGGAGCATCATGCTCACGGTGGGCTGCTCCCATGACTATGGTACACGAACTAGCAAAAAGAGAGGAACACTGAACACATGTCGTCATATAAATATCCTAGATAGAGATCGATGTAACACACGATCCAGGAGATCATAGAATACTGATATGCTTGTATACTTGGCCTTTCATTAATCATTACATCTTTTGTAATTTTTATTAATCTAATAGTGAATTCTTCTTGCTCCATCCCCATCCATTTCATACAAGTTTTTGATTAGTTAATTTTGGCATAAACAATATTCCTTCTCCTCTCCTTTCTACTCCTCTTATTCTTCTCTTGCTGCTTTGGTTTCCTTTTCTTTTGACCAAAGCTTTGGTTTCTTCTTATTAATCCTAATTGAATTATTTTAAATTATTCGATATTTCTTATTAGTTGAATATGAAAATGCCATAATTGGTGGTTTTATTGAAAAGTAGTGTGAAAATGCTGTTACTTTAAATCATTGCAGTTATTTTATTTTATTTTTAATACACATGTAGTAAGTAATACTTACTAAATATCATGTTTCTAATCCCATTTGTCATATTTTTACCATTTTATAGGAAAATGTTGTATTTTAACATGTGAAAATGTTGTATTTTATACAAAAATGTCATTATTATTTTCATGGCACTTTTTCTTTTCAAATATTTTATGTCTTTTAATTCATTTCCCGATAATTATAGGTAAAATTATTATCTAATCATTACACTTTTAGTCCTATGGAAATGGAAGTTCTAGTTTCTTGCTGTTGTAATATTGTGGCCCTAATTAGGCAATTCTCGTATATTTGAAAGGAGGCACACTTGAGGAATCAAAAAATTTAGATTTTAAAATTTTTAAAATTGAAAGGAATTTAACAATATTTTTCAAAAAATTGATTCATAATATATCGAAAAATAAAATATAATAAAAATATAATATATGAATAATGTAAAATTATCAATGTTGCAAATAAAAGAGAACATGTGTAGTATGTAATTATGTAGTAGATGTTTGTTTTCTATCCTTTTTTTAAATTTTATTAGGTAGTATTTTGAAAATATTTATTTCAAATTGACTTTAAATTATCATTTCATTAATTATCCTTCAAAACTCTCCAAGTGGAGGAAACTTAAAAAATGAACATTTAGAGGATTCTGGAGGGTAACACAAGTAATCCAAAATCATACGCTCTAATCTTTTAAACTCCCAAACTTGAAAAAGAGGGCCGGCCATAAACTTCATCAACTTTCTCTTTCCCTTCAAAATCCAACTCTCAAACATATTCTTACTATATTTTTAAATTGTTATATATACTTATACTAGTATATTTCTTGCATCAATTGTTCACTGTTTTTTAAATAACATAACCAATGATGAATAAGTACTCGCTTGTAAGAGCTTATAAGAATTAATTGCAGTTGCTTGTGTGTTTTTCTCGGGAAAAAATACTAGTATCTTTACTCGTGCCGTGCACGGGATAAAATGATTTTGTTGTTTAGTTTTACTGATGTAAAGTCACTTATTTAGTCGATTATAACATTTTCAAAATGCATATTCTAATTTATTGAGTATGCCTTATTTTTGAACTAATTATCTAAACATGTTTTAAATTTATATTTTCCAATTCCAATGAAAAGGACATACTATTTTATAACTCTCATCCAATTGAAAATAATCTATTTTTACCCAAACAAAAAGAAAATGCTAGATGCCTATTTATATTTGTATCAATTAAATTTCATTCGTGGTTTACTCACTACTAGAAAAGTAGCTTACAGTGACACT